CACCAACACTGGGGTACACTGATACTGGGGGTACACTGACATGGGGTATACCAACGTGGGGGTACACTGACATGGGGGATACACCAACACTGAGGTACACCAACACTGGGTGCACCGACATGGGTTTGGGGTACACTGACGCAGGCATACACTGACACCAGTATATACCACACTGGCTTACACTGCTTTTTATAATTACTCCACTTTAACTCATGAAAGAGGGAAGTCCAAGGAGGTGAACTTGGACTCCACCCCAACTCACAGCACCAGCTATGATGCTGCGAAGAGAAGACCCCCTTGGAGTGCATGTCAGATGGAAGGGAGCCACATGCCTCAATAATGATGCTAGAGAATGAACAGTAGGGTGTTCAAAGCTAACAGGTGGCTGGTCTGGTCCCACTTGAGGGTCTGGTGGAGCTCTGGCCTCCTCCTTCTAGGACTTAGAGTCTAAGCACCATACAAGCAGCTCTGAAGGGGGCACACATGCTGCCCTCTCTGCTCCCGTCTCTTGGGGCCAGAATTCACCTCTACATTCCAAGGAACATTCCAAGGGGGGGGGGCGGCCTCAGTTTCCCCACCATAAAAGGAAGGAGTAGTTCCAGGCAGTGATCTGGGCAGCTCCTTCCAGCCCTGCAAACATCGGTGCCCAATTCTGCTTCAACAGCACTTGTCTGAGAGCCATCAGCATTCTAGTTCAGCGGGCAGTGGAAAGCAGATGTTGTACTTGTTCAGGTAATTAGGCAGGGGCGCTGGGGACTACATCCATAAAACCAACAGCAGATGGCCATTTCAGCTGTCCCATGCATTTAATCCTCCTTCTCAGGGCAACAGTGAATGATAAGGAAACTATAGGACGGGGTGGTGGCTAAGCAACCTGGGCTGCCTGTGGTGCTGTTTCTACCTCTTGGATTCCAAACACGGGAGCCTAGAAGGAAGCAGTGTGCAGCTCTCACTGACACAGGGGTGGGTCACACTGAGGGGTCACCATGCCTTGTGAGGTATACTCACTGTCAGGCATCTGATGACAGCAGATGCTTCGCGTCTCGGATAGTCTACAGTAGGTGGGTACCTAAGCCACCAGTACAGTTCTTAATGGAAACAAGCAATGGCAATAAAAATTCTATCTGTGGAGATAGAGGGCAGAGTCTAGCCACCAAGTAGGGCAGGCCGAATGCATCTTTTTACTGAGTCCTCTCTTTCCCCCTGCTTAGCATTTCCTAGTGTCCTGGAAAACTGAATCCTAAGGCAGATTTCTATAGCTTAAGGGCGATGTGTGCCAAAGGACTCAGATTCTGCTGTTAGGTAAATGGAATACAAGGAATATTATCAGAGATCCATCCAACAGGGGTCTGTAGAGATGTGGGTATCTATAGATATCACCAAGAATGTCTCCGTTTTCTTATGTCAAAGCAGTGTGAGAAAAAATGAAAAGGATTTACAAATCCATTGGGGGCTAGTTTTGTTCACCTTACTACAGTTCTTTCTCATATTCTCTTAATTGTTTTCCACACCCATAAAAGGAGGGGAAAACAGGTAACAATAAAAACCACTGCCCATGGAAGCTGCCAGGCTCTAATGATAAAGAACCACTCTCTAGTGAAACTTAATTACACACCAGGCAGGGCAGGCACAGGAGGACAGGTCTGACAGGAGCCTCCTGCCCTCTGGCTGTACATTAGCTAATGCCCTACAAGAACCTGCATGCAGCCAGGCAGCTTGACGTGTGTTTGTGGTTGCTGTCTATGACGTGCTTTCGTGTTCTGTGGTGACCTTCTAGAAGTTTGCAGGCTGAACCACAGGTGCAGCTACACTGTGGTTTTCATACCTGCCCCGGGAGGTTTCAAGTTCAACATCTAGCTTTTGCCTTTTCATGATGGACCTGATGGGTCAACAATTAAAAATACAAATGTAACAAGAGTACAAGGCCACTTTAGTGTCACTTCCATGCTGGAAGTGAGGGACTTCACCTGTAGAACCCTCCAAAAGGCTGTGGCAAGTGGTTCTTTGATATATGATGAGAACAATAGTGGAGAAAGCACATATCTGACTCCGGGTTGGGTAATACTGAATGACCGTCCAGAGGTACTTATCCAAGAAAAAAGGAAATACATGCCCACAAAAAGCCATGTACAGGAATATTGATGGCAGTAGCTTTCAGGATAGAATAAATTGTGTTCATCAACACTTCTCAGCAATTAAATTCAATTCTCTGTGTGAATCACATTAACACCAACTTGTGTGAGAGATGGCCCAAAGAAAGAATATTGCCTATAATTCCATTTACACAAACTTCCAGGACAGGAGAAAAACTTAATATAGTTCCCGAAGTCAGAGCAGCGGCGGGTGGCCTCAGAGAAGATGGGGAATTAGAAAAACAGACTAGATCTATATTGAGATCAAACGACAGTGCCAGAATTCATGAGACTACACACTTAAGCTGGCTGTAATGGAGCCTGAAATTCCATGGCACATCCCCAAACACTAGGTCTCAGACTTGGGTTCCCCACTGAAATGGTTTAACCAGGACTGTGGCCTGAGAAGATGAAGCTGAGGCAGCAGGATCCAGAGGCTGAGTAGTCCCTAGTAGTCCCTGTTCCTATGAGCCAGCAGAAATGGCAGCAGGAAGCACCGGGGCCAGCAGAGCCCAGCCTCAGAGACCTGGCATCTACCCGATGGGGTGGCTGTTGGGGTGAGCAGAGCTTCTCATTCCTCCTCATGTGCCTCAGGCACCGAGGGCTCTTCAGCAACCTGTTCAAATAACCCCACTGTCCCCCGGGAGTCACCGGCCTATTAGAGATGCAGGCTCTACACTCTGTGGTCTCAACCCCACTCTGTACACACCCTTGGCCTCCCAGGAAACACATCTGACCCTCCTTACCTACTCCTATCACTTTTTCAGGATGATATCTTCCATGCTCTCCTCTCCACCACATTTGTCTGCTTGTTTGCTGTTGGACTTTCCCACTTATTCTAAGGCCGACGAGAGGAGACTGTAGCTGTTAGTTCTCCGGTAAATGTCAAAGCACATAGTAGGATGACAACTAAATTTAGTGATTGAGCAAATTCTAGATTTGCTCCACAGCATACAACAGTCAAGCAAAGCCATGAGAATAAAGAATCCTGCAAGGTCAGTGCAAACCCCCTGCAGCCTGTAGGCTCCTCTGCATTACAGGACCTGGATTGGAGCTTTTTGTCACACATTGTCAACAATTTAAGTGACAGCACAAAAGAATGGATGTCCTGTCCTTTACTAAAAGTACCAAGGTCTGGGGCCAGAACAGGAGAGAAGCCTCATGGCTTGGGCTAGGAAATGCAGCCAAAGAGTGATAGCATTCTGTGAAAACATGGACTCTTACCAGAAGCCCAGTGTCAGCACATGGAAAACGACCCATTTGGGAACGCAGGATGAGGAGGGCTGGACATACACACTCATGTGGAAAGTCATCCAAGGACAGGTAGCTCTGGTGTGAGCCTGCACAGACTGTCCCAGAACAAAAGCTCACAATGCAATAAGGGGGCAAATCGGACCTGGCACCCACCATGCTTGTCAGAGGGAGGTCAGTGTTGCCCATAAGACAACATCTCTGTAGGGGAGTCCCCTGCAGGACCCCATCATCAGCCACAAGCAGTCCACTTTCATGCTGTCTCAAGCCTCTAGACATCTGTTAATCTGGCCAGAGAATGGTCCTCACACCCTGCCCTGAGGTCCCACTGCCGACTGCATAGGACATGTGTTCAGAAACAGCCAGGCAAAATCAGTGAGCAGAGCCTGACTCAGGAGCTGGAGGCTCAGCACCCCACTTCCTGTCTCTAGCAAAGGGTCCTACTGGGATTCCGAGTCACAGTTTCCTGCCTAAGGTAGTTAATAAAGTGAACATTCATGGATAAAGTGGGGCCCACACTGAAAATTCACATTATCATGTAAATGGCAACTTTTCAGTGGCTCCTTTAACACAAGGACACAGGCTTTTGTCACCAAATATTTAAGCCCCGGAATCTGGGGAAGATGAATGGTTTTGTTCCTTGAATGAACAGGTCATAGAATAGAAAAAAAGAATACAAGAAAACAAACAAAACCAAAAACACTTAAACCCAACAATCCCTACCTACACACAACTGTGATTTTGTTATCGTGTTAGCAGCTGAGGGATAAGTATGTGAGACAGAGGACAGGGCCGTTTTAAATTAAATGACTTTGAAAGTTCATTCTGTCCAACATGGCTCAGCAGATCTCCTCAAACACCGGTAGTAATCAGCAAAGGCCCAGTGCTGCCCACTGGTTCTAAACTCTAAATGCAAACACAGGCAGCCTTGAGTACTTGGAGTTGATAAGCAGCTGGAGTGACCCAGGGAGGAAGTACTGTGGTTGTCTGCCCTGCTGCCCCATGGGATGTGGAAGGCACAGAGAGGCAAGGCATCTGGTCGAGTTCCCTCTATTGATGAGTGTATGATGGGTCTGGTCAGTCCATTTCTCTGCATATAGACTCTTTCCTGCTCCTCAGCAATGAGGACAGCTCTGCTAAAGAAAGGAGTGTCTACAGAAGCAGGAGCCCACCATGGTGGGGAAGGTGATCAGTCAGAAAGTGTAATCCAATTACTCAAGGGGAAACCAGAAGTCTCGAAATACACACAGCAAGGAAAGTGCTCCCTGTAACACCTGCCCATGATTCGGAGTGCATGTGGAGACTTACAATTGCTAAGGTGATCCAAACACAGCTTGAAATTGGTGCTCCCCTGAAAGGTCAGGCCCTTCACTAGTAGAGTCTGGAGTGTGTATACTCTGGCATGCCCTTCTCAGAAGTGAAGGTCTCTAAGCTGGACGCCCCCCCCCCCAACCCGTTATAGGTGGCATTCCCAGGCAAGCTAACTGGAATCCTACAACTCTGACTAGAGAACTTGATAAAATGTCCCAGATGCAAAGTCCAGCGAGCTACCCAAGGCCATTCCAGGTTGCTGTGGGCACGAAGAAACCTGCCAGCCAGTCATTGGATACCACTTACCATGTATGAAGGGAAAGTCAGGACCCGCTTGTGCTTGCCACAAGGCCACTGGGGGTCATCCAGGAGATTTGGGTCATAGTCCATAAAGTCTCCCAGATCACTTCCTGAGGAGCACAAGCAAACGGTAATTAGGGCCCTGGACTCCTTGAGGCTGAGACTGCTAAGAAGAGGCTAAGGACAGTTACTAAAGACCAGGTGGCTCCAGGGCCATTGCCTCAGAGTAGCAGCAATGGCTCTGACTTCTAGGGGTTGCCTCTGCTTAGCAGTGAGGTATAAACACACACTACAAAAAGATTGGCCAATCCTTACCATTCTGTTTTTTTCCCCTATGTTAGTAAATTATGTGTTCATTTCCATGACTCAGAAGAATACACAACTTGACACAGCATGTGACCCTTAGAGGTCACAAGAACATGGCCCTAGAACAGCCCATTCTCTAAGCTTGCAGAGAGAATTGCTAAACTCAGTTGTGCCATTCAGGGCATGACCTGGGTAAATACTTCTAGATAGGCTGCTGTTGTTAGCCACTAGCAAACACAGATACAAATGCTTTTTCAGGTGATGGGGGCATTAGGATAGGGGCAGGCTGACCTAGGGAACTCCACCTTCACTTGGAATTTCGTGTGTGTGTGGGGGGGGGGACCAGAAAAGTTGATGTAAGATGTCTCCTCAACGACTTTTCTGCCATCTTTTATGACAGTGTCTTTCGTGGAACCTGGAGTTCACCAATACTGCCAGACTAGTGGCTAGCAAAACTCAAGGGTCTGCTTGTCTGTCTTAGGGCTAGGATCACACACATGCATGCCTGGCCTTTTATTTGGGTGCCAGGGATCTGAACTCAGGCCTTCGTGTTTTTGTGGAAAGCACTTTGCCAGCCATTTCCTGGGCCCCTCACCTGGAATTTCTCTGTGAGAGTTTTTATCCTTGTACCTATGTGTGGACAAACATGGAACATTCAGCTCTTCCTTCAAAAGTCAACTCAACTTCTAACTGTGAGCATTGCAAAGGAAATGCTCACCCAACCCTACACTTCAGGGCCCAGTTACATGGGGAAATGCAGAAGGCAGAATGCATCAATAGAACACAGGTGAGTGAGGAATGAGAAGCTGGGAGAGAGCAGCAGCTTGGCTTTTCCCACATAGGCAGGCCCTGGGGGGCTGGTGACTGAGCAGCTAATTAAGAGGCAGGTCGTCTGTGGTATGCCTGTGAGCCTGTGTGACCTGAGATCACACCTCATGCCTGCCCCCTCACCTCACTGGTGGACCCTGTCCTCTAACCAACACAAACAGAGACCATTTGCACTGTAAACCAGGGCACATCCCACCACAAGCCACCAGACCCCCTGAGCTAAAGTTACCTGCATCCAGGCTCCCCTGGGTGCTGCTGGCCCGGCCTATTGAGAGGCTGCGGTGGCTCAGGGTCCGGAACTGGGAGAAGGAGGAGGTGGAGTCTATGGTATTTCGCCGGGTTCCGAAGGCATTTGTAGGTAATAGAAACTGGGTATAGGACACTGTCTAGAAGGGAAAACAAATACAGACAATGATTACACCAAGAGGAGGCCAGGCATGTTTTCTGGCCAAGCTCTGTTGCTACTCTAAGATCAGATTTGCTTTTTAAAAAACATGCAATTCTGGAATCTAATGGGATTTGAAAAAATGCAACTTGTATCCCAGCCTGTGGGCTCGTCTTTAATCCCAGTACTCTTGAGACAAAGAAAGACAGATCTCCAAGTTTGAAGCAGCCTGCTGGTCTATACACAGAGACCACATGTCAAAAAAACAGAAAAACAAACCAACAAAGGAAGAGAAAAATGCATCTTGTTTGGTATTCATTTTTGCCAAATTTGTGCCACTTTCATACCCAGCCCTCACCTGAACAGACTCCGAGCTGTGTACATCTTAACTGGTCCCATCTAGTCTGTTTCTTCCTAGTAGGTAGCTAAAATGTCTATGTGTCAGACAACAAGGCACTGTTTCAGAATGTGCTGGAATGTTGTGTCATGAACAGGTACATGTTGTACTGTATCTTATAATCCAGGAGAGGAACTCAGGAACACACCAGGCCTCAGGAGTATCTGGTAAGGCTGCTGGATCGTCTCACGATTCCCCAAAGGTACTGACCATGACCTGCACTCTACAATAACCTACCTCATGCCTAGGTCTTAGACACAGATACCCTGAGGGTGAGGACTGCTCACCTGCAGGCACAATGGGAGCTTCCCCACTGGGGCACAGGATTTTTGGAGGTTGTATGGAGACTACCTATACCCAGTAACAGAGGTCAGCATATTTCAGATTTTGCTCCTTGGACTTCACCTTAACAGCTCATTGTATTGTGGAATTTGATGTTTAGCTGGATACTAAACTGACCACAATTTAGTGGTCACTGTGCTGGGCTGAGACGCCAAAACTTTACCAGTGGCTGGAATATTGCTCCGACACCTCCAGTACATAGATACACAAACCATTACTTCATCCTGGAATGTGGGTATATGTTCATAAATATGTGAATATTGCACAATCAGCTGTAAACAGTGTTATCAGAGAAATGCACAAACTTCTGGCCCCCCTGCCATGCCTCTACTG